GGCCACGTACAGAGACGCTGGAGACGCTGCTGTGATAAACACCACAGAAAATTATCAATATTTTAATAGAAAATATAATTTAAATATTTTAGTAGAAAATCAGTCAAGGGCCAGATTAAAGGTCTTGGAGGGCCGGATCTGGCCCCCGGGCCGTATGTTTGACAGCCCTGGTCTAGTGTATTTTGATTCCTGACCTGGTCGCTGAAGAGAAATAAAATTGAGCGGAGGCACTAGGTGGCCACAAAACACCACGGCCAAAAACCTCGTCCTTCTCCTTCTCAATCTCCTCCTTAAAACAAGTAAGTTGTTCATGTTCTGACTCCGGTACGAGAGGAACTTTAAAATCTGCAGGTGCTCGATGCTCACGTCCATGTTTAGACGACTTCCGTAAACACAGAGCACGCTCGCTGTGTGTGACGTCGTCGTGTCCTCCAATCCACATGTGGGACACTTTTGGGCCGTTTAATGTTCACACTGGAGTCACATACAAGTCACATTTAATTTGAAATGTGAACGACCTCGCAAAAACATCGGATTTCACAAAAAAATCTGAATTGAGCGTTAAGTCCTGCAGTTTGAACGTAGACTGTTTTCCTTTAGTTTCTCTTTTCTGTGAACCTGTTTCTTCACCGAGAGCCTCTGCAGTTATAAATATTCCATTGTTTTCCGTTATGTTAATGTCGCTTTTGTGTACACGGAGCTAATGTCAACAACAACAAAAATCCACTCGCAAACATTGATTTGAAAGTGACAAATGTAATATGAATCCCTGGGTAAACAAACTCTACTAAACTGATGAACATGTTGGCCGATTTGAGCACTTTCCTCGTTTTTATTGCTACTTTACTGTACATAAACGTTAACAGTTAGAGAAAACGGAGGACGGTTGCCATAGCTTCAAACCCATGAATAACATAAGCTTTACATTTCTGTGAGGTTCCACGGTATGGCATTAAACTTATCCTCTTTATCTGTCTTATGTTTAAAGAGGTGCGCTTTTTGTTGAGAGAAATATGACAATAAACATGGATTCTTTCTGTGAGCGAGCTTGCCTCTCCACAGAGTTTAATGACATGCAACTTTATTTATAAACCACTTTAAAATTTTACAACTGGCCAAAGTTCTGTAAACAAACACAGAATAGACAAGGACAATCGTAGTACAACATAATACACAAAACAAACACAATATAACTACTAAAATCATAGAAAACTACAATCAACAACAACAAATGCACATGTCACTTGATAAAAACCAGTGAAAAAAGATGCGTTTTTACAGGCAAAACAGGTACAGACTCTCTAATGGCGACTGGTTCCACAGCCGAGGGGCAGAAACAGAAAACACACCGTCCCCACGAAGCTGCGTTTAGTCGTTGGATCAGGTCAGCGAGGCAGGAGGGCACTAAGCTGTGCAAACACTTAAAAGTAAATAAAAGAATTTTAAATTGACTCTAAAACACACCGGGAGCCAAAGGGAGAGAGGCTAAAACAGGTGAGATGCTCTCGGGTTAAAAGTCGAGTCGCTGAGTCTTGGACCTTCTGCAAATGGCAACACCAACATAAAGTGCATTTCAATATTCCAATACAGTCGTGACTAGAGCCCGACCGATATATCGGCTGGCCGATATTATCGGCCAAAATGGGCACCTGGAGATGTATCGGCAATCGGCCGATATGTTTGCTGATATGGGCCGATATTTCACGTGGGCATGTTATACCTCGTTATAAAGCTTAGACTCTCTACATTATGTTCATTTAATCCAATTTATAGACAGATCGATGTCATAATATGTGGCTCCGCATCAGTATTTATTTGCGGTGTAATTTGTGTCCGTATTGTCCCTGAACACACCCCCAGAGTGACGTCACTTCACTCACGTGTGTTTGTTTACACCCGCAGCCGTGCGCAACACCGAGATTATATTCTTTTTATGGACAATCGGTTTGAGTCTGGATTAAAAGGACATTTATTAGTGCAGACTTGTGATGTGAGGAGGAGCCTGTGTGAGCGGTGAGTGTTGGAAATACATCGACTTTGAAGGGGTTATCTGTTAGCGATTAGCTGCTGTAGCTCCCGCACATAAACAGGCTGTTTTCTATTGGCCTATTATAAAGTGACTGTATTGTCCGTACATTTGCTACTGGACCAGCATTGATATGTAAATGAGCTGTGAATAGACGTGTGAATGATCCACATTTATGCATATAATTAATTACCGCGGTGCGCACGTTTTTACGGGCTAAAGGCTAATAGCGGTAGTTTCTTTTTCTAGCTAGGAGTTATGGGTCGGTCGCGATCGAAGCGGCTCTTAGAACCGGCTCTTTGAAGCGAACGACGGGAGCATGTTTCTTATTGGGAGCCGTGTTTTCTCTTTTTCTCACTTTTTCTCTTCAAGCCGCTTGTAGACCTGTAGTTTGACAGCAGCAGCGGCTGAAAACGAAACGTTCAGAAATCTGCGTGTGCATAGGATTAAAAAAAAAAAGTGCATATTTGGCTGTAGTTCAACATAAAACGAATAAACCAGGACTAATCTTGGGCTTGAGAGAGATAGAAACCGAGTCCCGACACTCAGACCTGGTTAAGTTCTGGTTTAGTCCTGTTTCACACATGGTTTAAATCTGTTTTAGTCCTGGTTTAGTCCTTTTTCAGTCCTGGTTCAGTTCTGGTTTAGTCCTGCTTGCAACAAAACAATCTCAAGAGTCGCTTGGGAGCCGAAAGAGCCAGCTGCTTTAGTGAGCCGAGCCAAAAGAGCCGGTTCTCCCCCAAAAAAAACTGGAATACCCATCACTAGTAGCTAGAATGTGATGCAAAAATGCCATTAGGCCAAACTACTGTATGTAAATATGATGTAAATAGTCAGAATAACAATAAATGTTGCCTAAATAAACCCAGTTTAGAATCCACTAGAGCCAAACCTAAGTTTTTTAAACAATTCAAGATTTACAGTGAATTTTTACATCACTAAATATATCGGCGATTATATCGGCAGCGCCAACTCCCATTATATCAGTTTCATATCGGCCACAACAAAATCCATATCGGTCGGGCTCTAGTCGTGACAAATGCATGTATGACAGTTTCAGTGGTCCGTGTGACGTACAGGGGTGTGTGGTTCGTGTGACGTACAGGGGGGGTGGTTCGTGTGATGTACAGGAGGGGGGTGTGGTTCGTGTGATGTACAGGAGGGGGGTGTAGTTCGTGTGACGTACAGGGGGGTGTGGTTCATGTGATGTACAGGAGGGGGGTGTGGTTCGTGTGACGTACAGAGGGGGGTGTGGTTCGTGTGACGTACAGGGGGGTGTGGTTCATGTGATGTACAGGAGGGGGTGTGGTTCGTGTGATGTACAGGAGGGGGGTGTAGTTCGTGTGACGTACAGGGGGTGTGGTTCATGTGATGTACAGGAGGGGGGTGTGGTTCGTGTGACGTACAGGGGGTGTGGTTCATGTGATGTACAGGAGGGGGGTGTGGTTCGTGTGACGTACAGGAGAGGGGTGTGGTTCGTGTGATGTACAGGAGGGGGCTGTGGTCCATGTGACGTACGGGAGGGGGCACAGTGTGCACTGTGTGTGGGGGGGGGTGGTCGGACGGTCCACTCGGTGTATGGGAGGAGAGGAGGTTTGCATTTTCGCGGCCTGGTACCAAACGACCCACAGCCCGGCACTAGTCCCCGGCCCGGGGGTTGGTGGAATGTGATGCCATGGTTCCTCAGAATGGTGCCCAGAGGGAAGGGAAAAAAGCAAAGGCCCTAGTATTGATCCCTGAGGAACACCATATGACATGACATCTGTTACATAAAGGTAAGTTGTACAGTTGTAGGGAGTATTATCTGTTCCCTAAGGGTAAGTTATAAGGTTGTAAGGAGTATTATTTGTTACATAAAGGTGAGTTTAAAATATGAAATGAAAATACATCTTAAAATAAGAAAAACAAAAACTCTTTGTCCTTAAAATATGAAATGAAATCGAATGTTGCTTAAATTAAGAAAAACACACTTATTTCATTGGTAAATGTTATTAATTTAAGTCATTTTACTACGATATAATCAGAAAAACATATAATTTTTTTTCAAACACACTTTATTTTAGCGTCACGTGTCTCCTTTAACGTGCACAGAGACGTGTTTTTGGAGAGGAGAGCGCCACCTGAGCGCCCGCCTGGAGGAGCTGTACCTGTCAGGAGTGAGGAAAAAAGCAAAGACCCCAGTACTGATCCCTGAGGAACACCATATGACATGACATCTGTTACAAAAGGGTGAGTTGTACAGTTGTAGGGAGTATTATCTGTTACATAAAAGTGAGTTGTGCAATTGTAGGGAGTATTATCTGTCACATAAGTGTACAGTTGTAGAGAGTATTATCTATTACATAAGGGTGAGTTGTTGTACAGTTGTAGGGAGTATTATCTGTTACATATGAGCGAGTTGTAGGGAGTATTGTCTGTTACACAAGGGCGAGTTGTACAGTTGTACAGAGTATTATCTGTCATATAAGTGTACAGTTGTAGGGAGTATTATCTGTTACATAAAAGTCAGTTGTGCAGTTGTAGGGAGTATTATCTGTTACATACAGATAATATTGTAGGGAGTATTAACTGTTACACAAGGGTGAGTTGTTGTACAGTTGTAGGGAGTATTATATGTTACATAAAGGTGAGTTTAAAATATAAAAATACAACTTAAAATAAGAAAAACTAAATGTTTTTGCCCTTAAAATGCAAAACTAAATCGAATGCTTCTTGAAATGAGAAAACACACTTATTTAATCGATAGAATCGACTCAAATAAAGTCAAATGTTGTTCATTTACGCAATTTTATTACGATATAATCAGAAAAAATATATAAATCTGACAAACGCACTTTATTTTAGCGTCACGTGTCTCCTTTAACGCGCACAGAGACGTGTTTTTGGAGAGGAGAGCGCCACCTGAGCGCACACCTGTCATCCAGCTCCACACACGCTCCAGCCCGCCACTGCGCATGCTCCGCTCAAGGGCTCCTGTACTGTCATGGCGCAGACGAGCTGAAGCTACCGGGGCAAATCAGGAAGAGACCGCGGCGCAGCTGGCTTTATGCGCACGTTTCCAGCCCGCCAGCGGACTTTCCACGGGAGCACCGAGCACGGAGCTGTTCTTTTTCGAGTTTCGCCGTCGGAACGCGCCGCTCCGGGACTTGTGCGCTCGCAGTTTGGGAGTTTTGCGCCCGCCTGGAGGAGCTGTACCTGTCAGGAGTGAGCAGCAGCAGCAGCAGCAGCAGTAGCGACAATAGCTGCAACTTCACCCCCGTGTGCACTCCTTCTCCGCGGACCGTACCCTCGTTTGACTTCTCTGAGGAGGAGAGGTTACGACCAGCCTTCCCACGCGCTTTCCTTTTCTCTTTCCTCCCCGGATCGCAGTTTTTTAGCGGCTTTTGGACGCGTTAATCCATCCGTCTCGTATCAAGTTACGCGCAGACACAGAGAGAGGAGTTCACGGTGCCCTCGCGGTGACATTTCCACTGTCAACAGCTAACAATTTGAGCTTTTTGGACGCTTTTTCGTGGTGTGCATGGGGAGGAAAACGTGCCTACGCGTGTGCCACCCGCTCAGCTGAAGGAGACGGAGAGAGAGAGGGGAGAGGAGAGGAGCCGGGGCGCGCGTCTCCTCCTCCGGTTGGCGTAGAGGTTAAACAGGTGCGTTACCTGTGGCAGCCACCTGTCCAGTTCCTCTCTCTTGTCTTTCCCCCCCCAGACGAGCCATGGCCGGCGTGGAGAAAGAGGACGACAGAGCGGAGAGGCACGCCGCGGCTCTCAACCCCGGCGTGCCCATCAGGGGGATCCGGATGAAGTTCGCGGTGCTGGCGGGACTCGTGGAAGTCAAAGAAGTTTCCAACCGTGACATAGTGGAGACGGTGTTCAACTTGGTGAGTAAGCTGATTATGGGAGGCTCAGCGCGGGCCTGTAGCACCAACAAACCTCGTGGGCTCAGACAGTGACCAGAAAATCCAGTGTATCTGAAGAAAAGTTACCAAATTTACTTGAATAACGATAAAGAAACACAGTAGAGCTCGGTGTTTTTCGTGTTTTGTCGATTATTCAAACATGAACGTAAATAATGAATGGGCAAAGTTTGTTAAAGGTTTTATATCACGCAAAATTGACACTCATGAGCTTCAAGTCACTGTTACTGCGTCAAAAACAAACCTGGAGTTGTGTTTTGTTTCATTTATACATGTTTATATATATTTTAGTAACACTTTATTACCGCAAAATACTTAGTTTGAAGTTATGATGTCATGAAGTGCTAGTTTTTACGTTTAGGGTTAGGGTTAGAAAATTAAAACGAGCTTAAAAATTGTGTTTTAATGTTGTTACTGCGTCAAAACCCAACCTGGAGTTGTGTTTTGTTTCGTTTACACAAATTTTTAGTAACACTTTATTACCGCAAAATGCTCCGTTTCGTGTTGTGATGTCATGAAGTGCTATCAAAATTCTTGTAAAGGTGCAAATGCAAGAAGCGGCGAGATAAAAGTCGGCCAAATTTACTTGAATAACGATAAAGAAACACAGTAGAGCTCGGTGTTTTTCGTGTTTTGTTGATTATTCAAACTTTAACGTAAATAATGAATGGGACAAAGTTTGTTAAAGGTTTTATATCACACAAAATTGACTCTCATGAGCTTCAAGTCACTGTTACTGCGTCAAAAACAAACTTGGAGTTGTGTTTTGTTTCATTTACACATATTTTAGTAACACTTTATTACCACAAAATGCGCCTTTTCACATTATGATGTCATGAAGTGCTAGTTTTTACGTTATCGAAATTCTTATAGAGGTGAAAATGCAAGAAGTGGCGAGATAAAAGTCGCCAAATTTACTCGAATAACGATAAAGAAACACAATAGAGCTTGGTGTTTTTTGTGTTTTATCGATTATTCAAACATTAACGTAAATACTGAATGGGTAAAGTTTTTTAAAGGTTTTATATCACGCAAAATTTACTTAAAATCATGTTATAATGTTGTTTTTGTGTCAAAAACCGATCTGGAGTTGTGTTTTGCTTTGTTTACACAAATTTTAGTAACAGTTTATTACCGCAAAATGCTCTGGTTCACGTTGTGATGTCATGAAGTGTCACCAAAATTCTTGTAGACTTGCAAATGCAAGAAGCGGTGAGATAAAAGTCGAAAAAACATTTTGGACTCATGTCCAAAAGCTTTTTTATGTCTAAATATTGTTTCGGCAGAAAAAAAACTTCGACCACAGTTTGGTTTTTACGTCATAACCGAGCTCTCTTTACTTTTCGTTCGGTAAAAATCGTCAATTCCAACTCTGAAATCTTTCAGCAAAGGTGTACGAAAACGCGGTGGAGCACTTCCCGTACGGCCGCGTGACATCACGAGGTGGAACGGGGCGTTTGCCGCTCGAGAGAAGACGCAAACGACGAAACTCCGGCGATGTTTGCGACGAGGAAATGTTAAAACGCACATCAGAAAATGACGTAAAACTGATCTTTTAAAAGCAGCAACTCGATAATTTCATGTAATAAGATTAATCGTAGGGAGTAGTGTAGTTGGGCCTAAAACGTGAGGCTATTTCTGATAAATAAAAGCGTTAATTAAAGTATTTGTACACGGCATAAAGGATTAAAGTGAGATAATGTTGGTGGTCTAAATATTTCTTGATTAATTTCGTTTGTAAATGCGTAATCGGTTAAAAAATCGGTAAATATCGTGTGTTTTTAGGTCGTTTTTATCGTCTCTGCGCCTTTAAGAGTCTGAAACTGCGGGTGATTCATTAGATAAAATGTCAGTGAGTCTTTTACTCGACCTGAAACGAGAAGAGTGACGGTTTGGAGACGAGTTTGTTGAACCCGCAGAAGAATGAATGAAACCAGGAAGTGTGCGGAGAGAGAGGGAGGAGCGATTGTGTAAGGAGAGGAGAGAGGGAGGAGAGAGAGGAGAGAGAGGGCGGCCTGTTTGTGTAAGGTGAGGAGGGGAAGAGGAGGGAGAAAGGTGAAAGAGTAGGGAGGGAGAGAGGAAAAAGAGGGAGAAAAGTGAGAGGAGAGAGAGGAAAAGGCAAAGGGGAGGAGAGGGAAGGGAGAGAGAGTAGAGGGAAGAGAGAGAAAGAAAAGAGGAGAGGAGAGAGAAAGGAGAGGGAGAGAAAGAGAAAGGAGAGAGAGAGAAGAGAAATGAGAGAGAAAAGACGAGAGAGAGGGGGAAAGGAGAGGAGAGAGAGGGAGAAAGGAGAAGAGAGAAAGAGAGAAAGGAGAAGAGAGAGAGACAGGAGAAGAGAGAGAGTAAGGAGAAGAGAGAGAGAGTAAGGAGAAGAGAAAGTAAGGAGAAGAGAGAGAAGGAGAAGAGAGAGAGTAAGGAGAAGAGAGTAAGGAGAAGAGAGAGTAAGGAGAAGAGAGAGAAAGGAGAAGAGAGAGAAAGGAGAAGAGAGAAAGAGAGAGAGGAGAAGAGAGAGAGAGTAAGGAGAAGAGAAAGTAAGGAGAAGAGAGAGAAAGGAGAAGAGAGAGAGTAAGGAGAAGAGAGTAGGAGAAGAGAGAGGAGAAGAGAGAGTAAGGAGAGAGAGAGAAGAGAAGAGAGAGAAAGGAGAAGAGAGAAAGAGAGGAAAGGAGAAGAGAGAAAGAGAGAGTAAGGAGAAGAGAGAAGAGAGAGAGTAAGGAGAAGAGAGAGAAAGGAGAAGAGAGAGTGAGAGGAGAAGAGAGAAAGAGAGAGTAAGGAGAAGAGAGAAAGAGAGAGTAAGGAGAAGAGAGAGAAAGGAGAAGAGAGAGTGAGAGGAGAAGAGAGAAAGAGAGAGTAAGGAGAAGAGAGAGAGAGAGAGAGTAAGGAGAAGAGAGAGGGAAAGGAAAGGAGAGAGAAAAGAAGAGAGAGGGCGAAAGGAGATGAGAGAAACAAGATGAGAGAAAGGAGAGGAGAGACAGAAAAGAGAAAGGGGAGAGTAAGAGAGAGAAATGAGAGGAGAGAGAGTAGAGGGAAGAGAAAAAGAATGGAGAGGGGGGAGAGAGAGAAACGAGAGAGAAAGAAAAGAGGAGAGGAGAGAGAAAGGAGAATGGAGATCAGAGGAGAGAGAGAAAGGAGAGGAGAGAGTGAGGGAGTAAGGAGAAGAGAGAGAGAAAGGAGAAAGAGAGAAAGGAGAAGAGAGAGAGAAAGGAGAGAGAGAAGAGAGAACGGAGGGGAGAGAAGAAAGAGGGAAAGGAAAGGAGAGAGAAAAGAGGAGAGAGGGCGAAAGGAGAGGAGAGACAGAAAAGAGAGAAAGGGGAGAGTAAGAGAGAGAAATGAGAGGAGAGAGAGTAGAGGGAAGAGAAAAAGAAAGGAGAGGGGGGGAGAGAGAGAAACGAGAGAGAAAGAAAAGAGAGGAGAGAGAGAAAGAGGAGAGAGAACGGAGAAGGGAGAGAGAGTCGGGGGTTAGAGAGAGGTGAGTGGAGAGAGAGAGAGAGAAACAGAAGAGGGGGAGGTGAGGAGCGAGAGGAAAGAGAGACGGAGTAGAGAGAAGAGGAGGAGGAAGAGGAGGAGGAGGAGGGACAGAGGTGTGTGAGGGAGGGACTTACAGAAGTGCTTTGTCACTGTGGCAACACAATGACGCGTCCTGTCTGGAAAAGAGAAATCAAACTATTGTCTTTTCTCTGCACTTACCACGTTTACATAAAAGATTTAATTCTGAATCAAAATAAATTCTGCTTTAAAAAGACCTTGGAAACACTTAACTCCTGATGAAAATGATTATTCGGAATTAAACTTATTTCTGAAGTAAGTGGGTGGTTTATTCAGATTTTAAAGCCGATTGAATTTATTCCTCGATCATGTAAACTAGGGGTCATCAAATTCAGGCCCGCGGGCTGACTCCGGTCCTCCACGCCCCTTTGACCGGACCCCAGTCCCTCTGCCCTTAAACACTTAAACTGACCCCGTGAGGCAGTCTGCAAAAGTTGTCATGATCTTTTTTTTTTTTAAACTACTTTTTGGCAAATAATAACATGTCTACATCTTGTATTTTGTAGATTTTTTTCAATTTAAAGATTATATTTATATGAAGTATTTATAGTTATCTTAAAATAATTCTATGACATATTTTTGCAGCTGAATTTTTCATCACCTGACAAACTCGAGAACAAAAAGTGACAGACTTCTGTATTGTTGTTAAGGACAGAAAAATTACCGTATTTTTCGGACTATAAGTGGCTCCGGAGTATAAGTTGCACCAGCCAAAAAATGCATAATGAAGAAGAAAAAAACATATATAAGTCGCACTTTTTGGGGAAATGTATTTTGTAAAATCAGAGACGCAGTAATGTGGTAATACAGGGAAGTTTTTGAAAATATTTTTTATACGCGCGTCACAAAGCTTTTTTAACCTGGACTGAAGTGGTGGGTTTTTCTTCATACAAATTCACTACAGTCACTGTGATGTAGGCAGCGGTGAAATGCCGGAGGTGCGCCCACGTAGACCATCAGGTGACCGCGAGCCAAAGGACTGAGGCAGAACTCCACTCCCGGGCAAAGAGCAGCTGACGCCCGATCGAGCTTTGAGGAAACTCTGTTCCACGGACTCTGGGTTCTCTCAGGGGCGGAACAAGATTCCAAGATTAGTCCTGGTTTCAGTCCTGGTTTAGTCCTGGTTCAGTCCTGGCCCAGTCCTGGTTCAGTCCTGGCCCAGTCCTGGTTCAGTCCTGGCCCAGTCCTGGTTCAGTCCTGGCTTAGTCCTGGCTTAGACCTGGTTTAGACCTGGTTTAGTCCTGGTTCAGTCCTGGTTCAGTCCTGGTTCAGCCCTGGTTCAGTCCTGGTTCAGTCCTGGTTCAGTCCTGGTTCAGTCCTGGCTTTGTCTTGGCTTTGTCCTGGTTTAGACCTGGTTTAGACCTGGTTCAGCTCTGGTTTAGTCCTGGTTTAAACCTGGTTCATTCTTGGCTTAGTCCTGGCGT